AAGCAGTCGAGCGTTAGGATCGTCTAGGAGGTTAAGTAGGAACTGCTTAAAGTTATCCTAAGTCGTATCCTTACGCTCGGCCTCGGTTATCCGCTACTAGTATACGTACTAGCGGTCCCTCGGGGTATATCCCTTAGAGAGGTACTGTATTGCCTAGATATACTTCTCGGCTTCCTATTAGAAGGATCGTAGATTCTAGAGGAATACGACTTCGTACGATATTACGAAGTCGCCGTATTCTTTTAAGGACCTCCCCTCGTATTCGCTAGGGGCTTTTACCGAGCGTTTAGGAGGAGGGGCAATATCGGTTTCTATAGTATACCGCTTGTAACCGTAGCTACTCTAGAGGTCGGCTATTTCTTGGATTAGTAGCAGACGTTCCTTTTCCGCCCGTAGGCGGGCGATGTCTTTCTAAAGGTCGCTTAGCTCCTTATGTTCGACGATAATTTCCGGCTCGGAATCGTTCGCGTCTTCTAGCTAGATACTAGCGAGAGCTTCTATAGATTCCTCCTAGTTAAGTAGTTCCTAAACTCGTCCTACTTCGATATCCGTAGAGGAAGATTATTTAGCAGAGGCCTGTTCTAGTATAGAGGGGTTCCCCGGCGAGTCGCTAGGATTCTGTCTAGTAGAACGTCCTCCTGCTATTGTTCGGACCTTTCCCTTATAGTTAAGGTACGAGAGTTATTATATAATAGTTCTATAAGCGTAAGGGTATACGTAATAGAGGTCCAAGGTATAAAAGGTATAAACAATATACGGCTTACTAACTAAGGTATAATAACTCTGCCCTTCCTTTCTAGAGGAGGGCCCTCGCTATATATATAAGCTATTCTATTGTCTACTCCTCGCTACCGGCACCGCCTCCTCTCAGGCAGCAGCCGATAACCGGTTCCCTTAGGAACCCTCTTGATTTAGAACGTCTCCGATCGGTAGGGCATCCCTTCTATACCGGATCGCCGGGGGTCCGCGAGGGCTTCCCGTCCTACGCGGCACGCCCCGCCCGCCTCGCCGGGGGTTCGCTAGGGCTTCTCTGCCCTAGCGTGTTATATATATAGTACGGCGTCGTAGGGGGTACGTATACCGGAGGCTATTATTAAGACACTCGAATAGAGTCTAGAAGGGTTTAGTAAAAGCCTTACCCCTACTCGCTATACTACTTATTAATTCTAGGTAGATTTAGAGGCTTTTCTACCTAACGAGACATATAAGTAGTATAAGGTTAATCTGCTTACGAGCTGTAGTCTCTCTCTACCTATTAGTAGAGCGTCCTTTGACTAATTGACTAGCGATCGTACGTACGAGTTAGTATATATTATACTGCGAATGTTAATTAGTAAGCATATTACCTCTAGGAAACTACCTATTCTTAGTAAGCTTAAGAAGCTACTAGCCGTACGGAATTAGATCCCCCGACGTAAGAGATAGGAGGTATTCGTCCGTTATATTTAATATAGTATACCGAATATAAACTAGGACTATAGTACGGTCGATTTCGAGTTTATATAATATAACAAAGAGGGCGGAGGGGCCGCGGGGCGCGGGGCGCGGGGTAGGGCGCCGGGGTAAGGGGTAGAGGTAGAGGTAAGTAAAAAATTCTATTAGCTTTTCTTCGGCGAGCCTAGCTATAAGCGGCGATAAGGTAAAACCATTCGTATACTCGCTATATTACTTATACTTCCTCCCTCTCTTACTATATACTTTATAACCCCTATCGTAGCTATATCTATATTATAGTTGTAGCTACCTAAGTTATAGGCCGAGTACTATCTAGTTTAGATATAGATCTACTATAAGACGACGTTCGGCAAGTTTACTTATTATAGCTAATATAAATAGCTGAATCCGGACGGTCTAACGGAGCGATTTATACGAGAGCTATTAACCGTACTCGAGATACGCCCTCGGCCTATACTAACCGCGTCGAATATACCGGCTCCGTTAGCCTAGCCTATACCGATAGTATTAGTACCGGCTCTACTAGTAAGGATAAGTAGCTTTTCTAACGGCGAGATTTAATAAGTCGCCTAATAAGCTAGGGTTTCTAGATATTCGATATAATCCCCTAGTACGCGAATAACGAGCGTACTAGTACTAATACGTATTACCGATAGAGAGCCGCTACCGTAGTCGCCCTCTATACCGGTACTAGACTAGTTATCTACTATTAACAGTCCGCGCCGGCGTCGACCCCGACGCCGACGACGACGACGACGACGTTAGCCGTAGCCTAGAGGTCGCTAACCGTCTACTTTACGTATACCTATAGGGTCTATACCTAGCGCTAGGTACTTAAACTAGAGAAGAAGACAAAAGTAGCAAAGTAGGACCTCTAGTAAGCAGAGCTCGTACTAATAGTACCTAATAACTTTACTAACTCTAACCGCCTCGCCGAGGACGATAATACTAGCCTCGTAGACTTCCTACTTAAGCGTATCGACCCCGACGACCTTCCGGTATAGCTAATCTATAAAATCCCCGACTTTAAGAGTATAATACTAGTAACTAGCTTCGATAAGGACGGCAAACCCCTTAAGGTATTATAGAAAGCAACGAGAACACCTATCGTCGCGGACGCTATAGCTATATTCTAGATACTAGGGCCCCGAACGACCGCTCGCTTATATAAGGTTACGATCGTTATCTAGTTAAGAAAGTATCTACCGTCGCTAAAGCCGAAGAATCTGAAGCGTAAGGATAGGAGAAGTACTATAATCGACGAGCCCCCCCTCGAGTTATACTTACTACCTATAATACGCAAGCCTACTATACTAATCGAGAGTATTAAGTACGACTTAGACAAGCTTTTTATTAAGAAAGAGAAGGGATTAGGGTAGACATACTTAGTAATTAATACGAGGCAGCCGCTAGAGGTATAGGACCTCTCGGGCGACGGCGATAACACGACGACACGACGAGAAGGGGGTAGGTCCGGCGTAACGCTAGCAGTAGATAGCGACGGAGAGAAGATTAGTACTATAACAAGAAGGGCGGTAGCGGTAGCAAAGGCTCGGGGTTAACTTACTAGCGCTCGCGGCCGTACTTATAGGTAGGTAGGCGCTAAAGGTACTTAACTATATATAAACGGTACAGCTTTAATAGCGACGTACCCGGAGGGGGAGGGGGGGGCAATATTAGACAGTTTAATTACTACTTAATTCAATTATTCTATTTGATATATAGCTTACTAGACTATCGTATTACTACTAGTACTATTACTGCTAGTACTATTACTACTAGTACTATTACTACTAGTAGATGCCTAATCTAATATAGTCGGTAGCGCAATACCCCTCTCGGGCTATAAGCGAGTAGCGAGGGTATATATCTTACCGCTAACCTAATTAAATCTGCCCTTAAAGAAGCTAATCTAACTGCGCGCGTACCTATCTAAGCTATCTACTCGTACCTCGATAGCGGCGACTCGCCGAGTAAGACGTACTAGCTTACTACTATCTATATCTTCTATAGGCTAACCGGCATTATACCCTACCTTTACGTATCGCTTATAATAAGTATATATCTTGCTATTTACCCGGTCTACCTTATACGGAACGGCTAGGCCCGGACGAGTATAGTAATAGTACGGATCTAGCGCGTTAATCCCCTTATAAGTCTCTATAATTCGGCCGGCCTAGTCGAATTTCTATAGGTTATTCTTCGTAATCTTCTTCTTCTTAGTATCCTTACCGTTCGCCTCGTTAAGCTAGCCCTACTACTTCTCGGCAGCGTAAAACTAGAAATCGGCGGCTTTAGTAGTCGTAGGGCGGCGAGGGTAGGGATCAATAGGCAGGGTACTACTATAGAGAAAGAGAGAGAGTTAGTAGTAAGTTACAATAAGCGCCGAGGACAGCGCTACTAAGGACAGCGCCGCCGAGGATAGCGCCGCCGGCCGAAGGTTATACTCGGTATTATTATCTATTGTATTATCTATCTTATTACTCTTATCCGGCGTCGGATCTACCGTTAGATCCGGCGTTAGAGGCTCTATCTAACTGTCTATCTAACCGTCTATCTAATCTACCGGGTCTAAGTCGTCGTCCTCGTTATAGCGCGCTTCGAAGGCTTATAGCGCTTCGAACGTAGTTATAGCATTATCGCCTTTTTATAGTATCTCGAGCGCGAGCGTTACGTTCGCGATAATACTATAGGCTTAGTTAGCGTACGCTATAAGTACTATAGCGAGCGTACTCTTACTTAGCTCGGTAGGGTATAGTTATAGTAGTAGTAGTAGTAGTAGTAGTAGTAGTAGTAGTAGTAGTAGTAGTAGTAGTAGTAGTAGTAGTAGTAGTAGTAGTAGTAGTAGTAGTAGTAGTACTAGAAATATATATATAGTTCGTACTTTAATAGCAATAGCGGCGGCGGCGACGACTTGATAAGTGACTTATAGCAACAAAGCGGTAGTAGTAACAAAGCTATACGCCGCATGCGGCGACGACGGCGACGGTAAGGTAAGGTGCCGCATACGGCGACGGTGAGGTGTAGAATCAAAGAAAGGTGCTGTATGCAGTAGATTCATAAGGTAAGGTACGTTCATGAGAATTGGCCACTTTGGCCTTCCGTCGGAGACTACACTTTGGGGTCTTGGCATGGTCCACTGCCTTTACCTTCTACCTCCCCTCCAACTCCTGTTCACCATCAAGTTGTTCATTCTGTTTTCCCGTCGTCTCCTCAATCCTCAACTCCTGTGGGCGTACTAGGTATCATCCTTGCGTCGCCTCGGTGATCAGTATGCCCGTTGTCATATTCTACGATGCCGGGGTGGAGAGAGAGTGACGCACAACCAACTGACGCATCAATCAAGCTTGTGCTGTTGTGTCACCCAATTACGCTGATTGACCATGTCCGATCGCTGCAGGCAGTCAATGGTATCGAATCGATGCCGCACATTGGTGGACCCGGTGTTTTCTATTACCGGTCACAGCCTCACTGGTATGTAGCATGATCTACTCCTCGATATATAGAGAGAAGATATCTCTTGTCAGATTTCCATTGCTACCCAGGCAAGTCTCATTTTCATCATCATCATCATCATCACAATCATCATGGTCAAATACACACTGTGCGGCGCTACAGGTGGCACGGGAAGGTCGATCTTGCGATGCCTACTCGCCAACCCACCTCAAGATCTGGAATTGAATATCTTTCTCCGCAACAAGAAGAAGCTCCTAGGCCAATTCCCCGATCTCGAGACCAATCCATCCTTTGCACTCAAAATTTTCGAAGGCCAGAACACCGATCACGAGCTATGGAAACAAGCCCTATCAGGCACCGATGTAATATTCATGTGCATAGCCACCAACGAAAGTAAAAAGGGTATGAGCCTCTTCAGCGACACTGCCGAAGCAGTCACCAAAGCCCTCCAAGAACTCCAAAGCGAGCAGCAACAATCTTACAAAACCCCTTCCATCCTCATCCTACGAGCCATCCCCCTCAACGAAAAATTTAATCCCGGAACCAATTCCCCCGCCTTCCTCTTCTTCGCCCTCCGATATTTATACGACGCAATGGTCGACGCCAACAAAATCTACGAAACCCGAGTGAAAGAGTATCCTGGTCTCCTCGATATCATCTACGTAGATCCACCTGCCATCCACGATGAAAATGGCACAACTTGTACGGGGTACCGATTAGATGTCGAACCGTACAACGAACAAGACTCGGCTGCGGGACATAATCTCAGTTATGCAGATCTCGGAGCAGCATACTGTGAAATTGCGCTGCGAAGGAAAGAATTCCGGGGCCAAGGAGTTGCTGTGACTGCTACTGGTCCTGTTAAGACGACGTGGGGGAGTAATATGTATTTTCTTGCTGGTGGCATCTTGGGGAGATTCTGGGGTTGAAGAAAGTCTTTTTTTAAGAGGGGTCAATAGGTATGGAAGGTAATGATATGTTCACATCACAAGGGTTGGCGCCGCAGGTTGTATGCAAGTACAGGTTACATGCATCTATTCTTATTTCAGGTAATTTGTGTTTGGAGTATAGTAAAGAGTGTTGCATGTGGTTGCTTTGACACTCATGACTCAGCTGTACCTACCTTACCTTAATTACCTTACATACTTATCCTACCTTAATGTATGTAGTCAGGTACTCTCAATCATCAACCTCTGGCAGACTGTACAGAATTTTCACTTTAGATAGTGCGAATGCCAATCGGAAGTTGCAAAGTCGCTCTCCTGCCACTTTGCTAGGTAGGTACCTGCAGAAAGTTACCTCCATACAAGGAAGGCTGCATCCAACACAGAAGCTCTTCTTTGCATTTTCGTCTCGTACGCGATATTTGCGTGCATCTACTTCCTCGCTCGCTCGTCACAACAATTTGTCTGTGTGTACATCACATGTGAAAAAGTACAGCATTCGCTAAGAAAAGAATCGCTTCAAATCATATCATATCATTTCCGTCTCTCCTTCGTCCTCTCTTCACGTTGTAGCGTCATATGGCTTTTGACCATAGACGATATATCTGCACGAAAATGGATCGTTAGCGTCTATGTCGTTTATAATACCTGATTCAAGCAACTCTCGTAAGAGTTTCCTTTGTTGTTTCCTTCTTTTCTCTTATGAACACACTTACAATGGACAATACGTATGGTAAGCCTTCTTCTTCCACTCATTTCGTACTTCCATGAGCAAGACTTCCATCTCGGGCACACTCCATCCCAATCCCATCGTAAACGTTCTCACACTCAAGCCACTGAGCCCGTCGAGCAGCCCGACGAGGAAGAGTAAACCCGCTTGCCGAAGTCTTTTATCTTTCGGCCAAGGTCCCACGGGGATTTTAAAAGGTTTGATGGCGCAGTTGATGAAGCCGGCAGCTTCCATTTTCTGCTTCATAACAGTTGGATAGCAGCGTCCCGTTAAGCCGAAATTGGAAATTCCTTGCTGCCAGAGGTCTTCCCAGCGTTGCACGGCGCTGTCGGCGGGCATGGTGCCATCGTCGGAAGCGAATTGAAGGTCGAATTCTTGGTTTTCCACCCAGCCTCCGGGCTCGAGGCTATTCCATGCTTGAGAGTAGAACATGTCCCAAGATTTGAGGGAGAAGCCGTTCATGAGTCGCGTGTGGATGAAGTCGAAGCGCTGGCTGAATGTCCAAGGCTCGTCGGCGTCCATGACTTGAAATTCGAGATTCGGAGGGACTGCAGTGGGTTGAATTGGTGACAAGTCGATTCCGATGACTTGGGCGGACGGATGATCGTCTGCTACGTCTATGGCCCAAATTCCCGTGCCCGTGCCCACGTCTAAGATCATGCGAGGATGTTGCACGGGACAATGCCAGTGCTTCTCCTCGAGCGTCAGACGCATGCTGTGGTAGGTGATGTCCATTCGCTCCTGTTCGGACTCGTCGTTGGGCAGAGCATATCTCTTGTCCCGCCGAAACGCATGGTAGGTTCTGCCGTTTTCCTCTTCGTAGTCAAAAATGCTGGAAGCGACGGATTCGGTGGAGAGGTAGCCCTCTTCGTAGCCAGAGTCGTCGGAGAAGGCATCGACGTCCCTGGCTTCCATGTTGACATCATTGAGCTCCATCGCAGGCAGCAGCAGCAGCAGTGTTCACGAATGCGGAAAAGAAGGCCAACAGTCAGTATGCAGCAGCGATGAGGAAGAATACCGAGTGAGATCTAGTGGCGGTAGGAGATTACTGCATCTGCGTCGTCGAGGCTCGAGCAGGACAGCAGTAGAGTAGTAATAATAGTAGTAGTAGAGTAAGTATATGGGAGGGATCTCAGGTGGCGCCGGGCTGGCCCATGATGTCTTGCATGCAGGAAATATAGTTGATAGTAAATATGTTCGAGTAGGAGCGGGAGGTTGATAATCAGAAGGGATATGGATGATTCTGTGGAGGCCCTGGGCGTGCGGAGGTGTAGCTCGATCGAGGCGTTCTATACATAGTCTTGCATCGGCCGATGCCCTCCGTGAGATGTGTGTACCTGAGGTATAAAGACAATATTGATGGTTGATCACGTGACTTGCATATCTAGGTATCGACGAGGAGAAACTGAGAGAGAGAGAGTTGCGGCACTTGGCCTTCCCGCTTCGCCAAGCCTCGCGCCGCTCGTCTCCCCCGTCAGCCGTGCGCGCGTCCCGTCTTGTCCCAACCAGGCGCAAGCACCGCGATAGGTGGTAGCTGTTCTAGCCTTCTAGGCCAGGCCACTTGTAGGAGGTTGAGGTGGAGAGGAGGTACATGTACATGTAGGAAGAGTAGATTGGATGGCACTCATCCCACCCATATCCATAGTCCCATACCGACAACATGGCTCTGCTCTCCAGCTTCGCCGTTGCACTGCTCACCGTGCTCGTCTTGTACTACTGCGTCGGTGCCATCCTGGGCTATCGCCGACTGCGCCAATTCCCAGGCCCTCCCCTCGCCAGCCTCTCTCGCTTCTGGCTGTTCTGGAAAGAATGTCGAGGCAGCCTCCCATCGGCCCAAGTTGCCGCTCTCGCCAAATATGGTAATGCGTCGTCCATGTCTGATGATCGCCATGATGATGAGTCGGCGATGATGGAAATGAAGCTGACGAGGCCACAGGATCTCCGGCCCGTATTGGCCATGACCTGCTTGTGACAGACGATGCTGATCTGATTCGTCACATGTATGGGACGACCTCCCGATGGACGAGATCGGGTTGGTATGATGCAATGCGAATGGATCCACGCCAAGACAACGTCTTTTCGACTCGCAATGAAAAGGCACACACGGACCTGAGGGCGAAGGAAGCTGGCGGAGTGCGTGCTCGGATGGGTTCGGCAGTGACTGCGATTATGTAAACTGACTGACATGCGTGTAGTACAACGGCCGCGATATCAACACGCTCGAGCCTGACATTGATGCCCGAATCAGCGACCTGGTGGAACTGATCCGGAAATATGAGGGCCAATCAGTCGATTTCGCCCCCAAAGTCCGCTATTTCGTGCTCGACACCTTGAGCACCGTGGCCTTTGGGCGCCCCTTTGGATTCATGGCTGCTGACAAGGACAAATGGGACTATTGCCAGACATCCGACGATTTCACCCTCTTCCTGGGCTTGACAGCCAACCACAGCTCCATCAGATGGCTGCTCAGTCAGCCGTGGATACAAGCTCTGGCTGCTCCCAAGACGACTGACCAGACTGGCATCGGACCCGCGCTTGCCTTTGCCCATGCCGCAGTATCAGAGAGGTATGGACCAGACGCAAAAGTTCGAAAGGACATGCTCGGGCACTTTGTGAGCAAAGGCCTCTCCCAAGTACAGTGTGAATGCGAGGCTTTCTTACAGATTATGGCGGGCACCGATTCTACGGCTACAGTACTGAGATGTGCAATCTTCTCTCTTGCTGGGAATCCTAGGGTCTACACCAGATTGCGAGCGGAGATCGATGGTGCTATACGCGGTACTACATCAGAGATCAAATATACCGACACGTTGAAGCTGGAGTACTTGAAGGCGGTCATTTGGGAAGTGATCCGGCTGTTTCCTCCGCTTTTTGGTCTGAAGGAGAAGCGCGCGCCTCCTGGTGGGGATGAGTTCAATGGCGTCTTCTACCCCGAAGGAACCGGTGTGGCGATATGTGACGAGGCCGTCATGAGGAAGAAAGAAATCTTTGGCGAAGATGTGCACATGTTCCGACCCGAGAGATTACTGGAAGGTGATCAAGCTCTGCGCCGGCACCGCATGCAGACCATCGAGGTCGCCTTTGGCCACGGCAGGTATCTGTGTCTCGGCAAGCACATTGCCATGATTGAGTTGCACAAGGCCGTTGTTGCGGTACGTTTAGTACACTCCCCTCCTCCTGATGCCGACCGAGTGTAGACTGAGGCTGACTTGAGAGCAGATCATCCGCTCTTTCGATTTCGCAATAGCAGATCCGATGCGAGGTGTCGATGATGTGCTGCACAACGTCCACATGCACAAAAACATGAACATGGTGTTCAGCGCACGAGAATCATGACCTGATGACGAGATGACTACAACGTTTTGTGTTCAGATACCACTTTTGCAATGAGCAGACAGGCAGGTCAATGCCACCATACATACTGACGCCCAAATAGAGTAGCAAACGAATGCTTGTACAAGACCCTTTCGAAATTCGTACCTAAGCATGCATCATTTTATATATATATCCAAGGAACATCCATCTTTTCCATGCCCGTGTCTACATATCTCAGGTAGGTAGGTAGCCAATCCCAAGTTGTAAAAGTACCTACCTACTTGTTGCGTCGGTCAGAAGCTTCACCAAACACATCTGCTGCTGCAAAACTGCACACAATACCGCCATCCATCGATCTATATCGACCGCACATAATTCCCAGTAAAGCGGGAAAAGCTACTGTACAAATGTACCCCTAGATAAGATACTATATACCACCAAATCGTAAACACCAAACCCAGAAGCAGCAGCATCATTCCCTTTCTAGGTAGGTTAGGTAGATAAGGTACCTAGATAGGTAAGGTAGGTAACTCTTTACCTCTATATCTCTCTCTCTACAAAAGGAAGAGGAAGAAGAAAGAAGAAAGAACATGAGAGTGGATATAGGAATAATCGAATAATAATTTCGCTGTGAAGTCGTTCTTTTCAAACATTTCAGTCATACATGTACTTGTACCCACATACCTACCTTACCTTAGTATAAGATCTACTCTACTCTACTCTACTCTACTCTACTCTACTCACCCCGCTCCCCCATCAAAATTTCCTTCGACTAATCCACACCCTCGTATCATCACTCGTCACATACGTCCCCGTGGCCTTTTTATGCTTGGGCATCTTCCACTTTCCCCCTCCTTGAGGCTGAATATCCCACATGGAAATCACAATCGCCGTAAATAACATGGCCTCACGCAATGCAAACGCTCTGCCCTTGCACATACTCGCGCCTCCACCATACGGTCGAATCGTGCCCAAATCCGCCGTCGAGTTCCCCGCGTCGTCTTTTTTCACGTGGCGATCGGCCTGGAAAGTTTTGGGGTCGTTCCAGTATTCTGGATCACTATTGTGTAGATCATGCGCGGCGTGTACGTATTCGCCTTTGCGGAGGAGTAAAGGTTCTGCACCCTTTTCGCGAGATTGGAGGACAAAATCGTTTTTGATGACTTTGAAGGACCATGGAGCTGTGTCGAAGCGGAGAGATTCGACGTAGACGCTTTTGAGGAGGGCGCAGGAGTCGAAGATACGGGTGGTGTCGATGGCGCTGATGCGGGGAGGTGCTTCGATGGGAAGACCGGTTCGCTCGTGCGAAATTTTGATGTAGGGGGCGATTTCTTCGCGGAGTTGGGCGAGGAGGACGCGGTCAGAGTAGACGTGGTTGATCATCCAGAAGATTAACGTGTCCGAGTTGGCGTTGGCCGCCCACATGAGAGCGAGCTCGTATGAGCTTCGGGTGCGGATGGAGAAGTCGTGCTTTTCGTAGACTTGCATTCGAGCTTTGAGCAGCGTGCCCACATCGTCTAGAGATGACCATTTGGACTCGACCGGTTCGCCGCGATGATGTTTCTGGAGGTTCTCGTGAAACTCTTCCAGGCGTTTGAGGTTGTCCCTGCGAGCGATATGCGCCCTGGTGAGAGTGGGGATGGGAGCCCATCGTGGAAGTCCCGCAGCCAGCATAATGAAGCCCGAATCGAGAGTCCAGATATCATCGAAGAAGGTGGGGAAGTTCTGGAGGAAATCGGACCCCATGATGGAAGGATTGGCTGTGAAAGCCACGAAATCTCGAATCAAGGGAAACAAGCTGGCCTCCACCACTGTTGGGTTCGATGAGCTGCCTTGGGCCGCATCAGCCAGAAGAGTAATGTTGGCGTTCTTCTCCCAGGGCATCTGGTCGACCGGACTCTCCAGAAAAGATACTAGGTTGGTGACATAGTCTCTTGCTCGGCCCGCTGTGTTTTCAACCAGCCCTTCCAGCCCCGGGTTGGACAAGATTTCGCGATAACATTCCACCATATCCTTGTGGGCTGCATCATATTTTTCGAGATCGTACACTGGCAAGTCGAAGATACTGACCATCAGCTTTCTCGCCACGTCCTCGGAATCGGCATTCTCCTTTTTCGCATTGAGCAGTGCAGTGACATGGCCTGGCGTGTACAAGATATTATGCCGACTGCCGCCCAGATTCAGGGCAAAAGCACCTTTTCGGTAGAGCACGCGAAGGTGTTCCAGAAAGCCGTCGCCATAGAACATCTGCGGTGCATGACCAATGAACGGCAGCCAGTATGGATGGGCGGGAATGATGCTCGCGCCATTCTGCGTTCGTGCTTTGCTCTGGGTGCTGCTCGAGAGCCTGGTCACGATCAGCACGATGATGGTGGCGAGCAGCGCCGTCGGAAGTGGATAGTCCAGTAGCGTCTGATACCACGTGCGAGGCACGAGTTGGAGTTCTGGCGGAGTCCAGTGGCCGCTTTCGTTGACCGCCGCCATGTTTGCTGGCGTACAGTAGTAGTTTACAGTGAGGCACAGATGGCGTCGGTATTGCCGGTGTATACCAGGTATGTAGTGATACAGACGTTTTCCATATAGAAGAAGTATACAATACAATACTCAGGTAATGTACGCTCAGCGGCTTATCCGGAGCAAGTCAGAGGCGTGAGATGAAGATGAGACGACTCCAGGTCCTGGTACTTGGCTATACCAGCCCGAACCTGGTTACATGCATGGTCAAACACAGCCTGAGGCATTAGTTCGAGTTCTATTTGTTGAGGAGGAGGAGGCGACAACACCTGAGACATGATTGGTTCTGCTCCAGCTGCTCGCTTCGCTGCTGACTCAGGTATATACCTCCTGCCTTACCTAAGCATTACATCTCCTAGAATCAACCACATGCACGGTGCACCTCCCAACTTCCAGCATTATCTCACCTCTCCAAACAGCAAATCTGCTCCTCCTCCTCTCCAGCCCGCCAAACGAAGATCAGCCACCAGCTATAGCCTATAGGTAGCTCTTCCACAAGACGGGCAGGTAACATCTCAGGCCTCATAGCACTCGACTACACACATCGGTACAGTCGTCAACATGCAAGTTTTTTTGATTATTCTCCAAGGGACACCTATCATAGGCCTTTGATACCTTTATAACTACCTAACATACTGTCCATGCGACGGCAATACTGTGGTGGTCAAAGAAACAAGAAAGAAAAAAAGTCTCAGCACTGACTGCCTTGGCTGCCCAGACGTCTGTTCGCACTCACACCCCGCAGCCAAGCGGACTAGTCGATATTGGCTTGCCTTGCCCCCCCACCCCCATCCATTGATCGAAAAGGCGGAGTGCGGTGAAAAGATAAGATCAGGTTGGTACTACTTATCTGTGTCGAGCTTGCTCATGTCGAACGTGGTCGATTATGTTCAGTATGAGGTAGATCGAGCGATAGATAGGCATACTGTGTCGTGCTCGACGAGACTTCGAATCTTTCGCCAAATTTCTCAGCTGGCCAAGCCAAGCCATGCAAGACATGCTATGATCAGTCAACTGTGTGAATCACAACTCCCCGCCTTGTGCGAATTCCCCAAATCAACCAGTCCATAGCGCCAACTTTATTACCACTCACAGATGTATAGCCGTCCCTCAGGCCGCCATTGCCGAGAATCTTGGTATCGTGGCAACCCTTAGCTGGAAAGCTGCTTTAGGAAATGCCCTTCAGCTCGACTGGTCACCATGGTCAACCCGAGTGCACGAAGGATGTGCCCGATCGTCCTGCCGCGTCAAAGGAGGCACGCACTCATAGCTAGAGCCGAAGCTTGTAGAGGGTCCAGTCACTATTGGTGGGGGCAGGTTGGGTGGTGAAGGTGAACATTTTTTCATAAATTGAGTAAAGACCCCCAAATTATTGTCGCCAGAATCAAAAAGTTCGCGTTGTATTCGCAAGAATTCTTGTCCAGCTCTTGTACGTTCTCTTGAATTCTTCTTCGCTGCAAGCTTCGCTGAATACTGACAACAACATCAACAGCCAGGCACGATGGCAGAGGACCAGAGCATGGAGAAGTCTGGTCAGGTGTACCACGAAGGGCCCGACGAGATTCGCCAGAAGTCTGTAGTCGAGTCCATTAACTTGAACCGCAATGTAGACGCGAAGTAAGGAGACGCATATGGTCTGTACATATCATCGACGTTAGCTAATGTGCACACAGAATCAGCAATCCGCTCGCGGGAATTTCGTACGCAGACCTCATGACTGATGTCGAGCAATTCGCACATCAGAAGGGTCTCAATGATCAACTCGAGTTGCTCAAGAAAGGCGCTCTCATAGCTCAAGATCCAGCCAATTTCGAGAGCCTGGAGCAGCTGGACGAGCACGAAAAGGAGTTTTTGCGATATGAGGCCGCGCACCGTTGGCGTCACCCATTCCAATTGTACATCACAATCATTGTTTGCTCGATCGGAGCTGCAGTGCAAGGCTGGGATCAGACGGGATCGAACGTGAGTGGGTACGAATACTTCCACCTGAGAACAGTTCTGACCAGAGCTTAGGGAGCAAACTTGTCGTTTCCACAAGAATTCGGTATTGGCTTCGGTGAGACTATAGGACATCCCAATCAGGTTCGCGATAGTTGGCTCGTGGGAGTTGTCAATGCCGGGCCGTATATCGGGTCTGCGTTTCTCGGCTGCTGGCTCTCGGATCCGTGCAACTTCTACTTTGGACGCCGTGGGACCATTTTCATCTCCGCTGTCTTCTGTCTCATTACACCAATCGGAGGAGCTGTCTCCCAGACCTGGGAACAGCTGTTTATCACTCGACTTCTCATGGGTATAGGAATGGGTTTGAAGGGTTCCACAGTGCCAATTTTCGCCGCCGAGAACTCACCTGCACGGATTCGAGGCGCTCTGGTGATGAGTTGGCAAATGTGGACCGCATTTGGCATCTTCCTGGTATGCTGCACAATCACCGCGTCGTCATGAAGATGGGCTAACTTGAATCCAGGGCTTCTGTGCAAACCTCGCTGTCTACCGTGTTGGCGACATCGCCTGGAGGTTGCAAATTGGTTCGGCTTTCATCCCAGCCGTGCCTCTGACTCTTGGCATCTACTTCTGGTAAGACGCTGCTTATGTACGCCCAAGCCTCTCATATCTGAGCCGTCGCTGACATGTATTCCGCCCGACTGAAGCCCGGAGAGTCCACGATGGTACATGAAGAAGAACCGATATCAGAAGGCCTACAAGTCGCTGTTGAAGCTGAGATTCCATCCCTTGCAGGCCGCGAGGGATCTCTACTACATCCACTGTCAACTTCAAGTTGAGGCTAGCATCGTTGGGAAGAGTAATTACCTTTCGCGATTCGTGCAGCTATTCACGATACCACGAGTTCGTCGCGCTACGCTGGCTAGTTTCGTGGTCATGATTGCGCAGCAGATGGTAAGCGCTCTCAACAAGCTGAAGCTGATGCAAATCCGCCACTAATCGATCCCAGTGCGGAATCAACATCATAGCCTTCTACTCCTCGACCGTGTTTAGACAGGCCGATGCTTCGGAGCGCGACGCGCTGATCGCCTCCTTCGGCTTTGGACTCGTCAACTTCGTTTTCGCGTTCCCAGCGATCTGGACCATCGACACGTTCGGACGCCGCGCACTACTGCTATTCACCTTTCCCCAGATGGCCTGGACTCTGCTTGCTGCAGGCCTTTGCTTTTTGATCCCAATGTCTGCTGGTGACGCCCGGCTCGGTGCCATTGCCCTTTTCATCTACCTCTTTGCCGCTTTCTACTCGCCTGGAGAGGGTCCCGTGCCATTCACCTACTCGGCTGAGGTGTTTCCACTCTCGCATAGAGAGGTGGGCATGGGATGGGCTGTCGCGACCTGTCTGTTCTGGGCCGCTGTCTTGTCCATCTCGTTTCCCGCGATCCTGGCGGCCCTCACGCCCACAGGGGCATTCGGCTTCTACGCAGGTTTGAATGTCATCGCTTTTGTGATGATCTTCCTGTTTGTGCCAGAGACGAAACAGCGTTCGCTGGAGGAATTGGTAAGTTTGCTTGCGGCATGCCGCCAAGAAACAGTTCAGTACTCCGGACGAGGAACTATGCTGACCGTTTGTGTAGGACTACGTCTTTGCTGTGCCTGGAAGACAGTTTGTCCGCTATCAGACTACCAAGGCCCTCCCATGGTGGTTCAACCGCTGGGTGCTGTTCCGCAAAGAGGCCAAGCTCGAGCCGCTGTACTCGTTTGACCAGACCATCGAGCGTTCGGAGAAGGTCGGCATCGCTTAGACGCAAGAAAGATGTTCGCACGGATGCCGAGCGAGCCAGGAATATGACACCTGCTATACTCCAACCACAGAAGAGTTTGTAGGCCCAGAGGAGGTAATGCCAGTGGAATGCCAGATGTGAAGCTAGTACCTAGATACCGTAGGAACGCGTAGGTAGTTCATTTTATGCCAAGCCTCACCGTGAATTGCCGCCAGTCTCCTTGATGACATGCTGCCCTGCCCTGCCCTGTCCACGTTCCTCTGCAAGTTGCGACAGGTCGGTCCATCATGAGGTGCGAGTCGATGGCGGAGTGATGATAATATCAGGTAGGTGATGTTGTTGATGCGGATGAAACATGCCGGCATGTCTGGTCAAGTCGGAGGGAGGTAACACGAACCCAATCAGGCAGGCTCTCGGCACCTTTTCGCGAAAATTGCACGGCTGCTGCGTCGCTCCTTCCCTTCCCAGCATGCGGCCATCCGCTCTTCGCGTGAGCTGCTCTTCAAGACAAACCATCTCGAGTCGTACCCTGTGCAGCTGTGCTCGCACAATTGATTTCCATCCTACTTGAATTCTACCAACGTACACTGGCCCGGCCCTGCAGCGCATTCCATATCCACATCCGCATCCGCCACTCCCTCCCACGGGCGCGACAAGACATGACGGACATCGCGCAACTCCTCGCTGACAATTGATCCCATATCCATATGGACGCCAACAGCTTAGTCAGTGCTCCGACGAGCCTGGACGAAGTCGAGCAAGTATGTGGCGTGGCGCGCTCGTGCTCAAACCATCTGATCTGGAGGCCGCTCGTGCTGATTCTCGGCATAGCTCGTCAAACGTCTGTACCAGCCAGGTACACCGAAGCTCATCAATCAAATCGACGAGCAAATCAAGCTCCTACAGCATTCGCCAGAGGGATGGCAGCTTGCAGATGGCCTTCTCGCCTCACAAGACCCTAGTGTGCGCTTCATCGCCGCTTTGACCTTTCAAGTGAAACTCAACAATGAAGGGTCAGTTTGTCGACCCTGAGATGAGTCTTTGATGGTGAGACTCTCCGCTCATGCTGTGTAACAGGTCTAAGCTGGCTGCTGCCACCGCGCAGGCTATTCTTGCAAGAATAGTATCTTGGACTGTGTGTTCCGCCTTCTTCTGCTTCTCTATTGTAGCTTGACTGCAATTGATCCATTTGATATATATACGTACTGAGCTGACGTTCTTCAGGTCAGACTAGACCGTGTTGGGGAGGGGCACCTGGTGCAAAAGAAGCTGTGTGCCGCGCTTGGCACATACTTCCTACAATCATCAGTACAGTGGCCGCGGCCTCTGCTTCACATTGCGGCCTCACTCGCTCATGGCGATTTTGTGTCGGAGGTACGTTTTCTGTGCACAGAGTTGTCGACATCGTCCACTGACTTGTGGCAGGATCAACTCTCGGCATCTCATGATGCGATCAACCAATATTTGCCAGCCCTCGGAGACTCCCAGATCATCCTTCTATTGTGGCTATCTGGACAGCTTGCCACGGACGGCGCCAAGGTGGACAGCACAAATCCAGCATGCGAACGAATTTACGAGCAGATGCAGATCCTGGTGCAAGATGTGAGTATCCTCATCGAAAATGCTCTCCACAGACCTGCGTCACAGATCTCCTCGGACGTCAAGAAGGAGTGTCTGGTCTGCTTCCTCAACTGGGTCAATTATGCCCAGCCCATGTGGCCCACCAAGCCAGAGGCGCTGGAACATCTCCGCCGACTCGTCCCCGGCTTGTCAATGCTGCTGTTGGACCCGAGACTCGAGCACGAGGCCATGGACATTTTCCGCGACGTCCTGGAAACCTACACCACTTTTTTCCAACCACAGCACATGACGACCTTGGCCGAAATCATCTTCAACAATGTCCGTCCCCGAATGCTGCAATCTTTGCATGAACAAGAGCCCGAAGTGATATCAGTGGCTCAGTTTGTCATCGCATATGGCATAGCCAATATACAGCAAATCGTCGAGCAGCCGGAAAATGAGATCATGTCAAAGGCCCCTCTAGCGCTGATTATGGCTATTCTAGAAGCCCCTGGCTACCCAGGCGACGATGATGAGGCGTCTTTGCACAGTATCGAGTTCTGGAATACTTACATTGAGTATGTCAATGATATTACCTATTCCAGCGCCGATATCGAAACGCCGCTGCATTGGGTTTCGTCCGCAAGATCGACGTGCATGTCACTCACACATCTACTCTGGCAGAAAATGCGTACCCCGGACGCAGAGACGGCAAATGAGTGGACCGAAGCTGAATCCGAAGGTTTTAAGGAATTTCGCATGGATGCCTCAGACCTCATGCTATCGATATACGTCTTTCTCGGCGTTGAAATGCTGCAGTCACTTGTCACGATCATGCTAAGTGCTTTGGAACATGGGCAGTGGCAGGAGCTTGAGGCCGCCTTGTTTGCGGTCAATACACTTGCCGACAATGTGTTGGCTGATCAAACTGCCGAGAACACACTCACTCCAGTCTTCAGCTCGTCGCTATATCGCATCGTTGGAGACTTTAGCCAGACTATGCCTACACAAGCACGCCGGACTGCTGTTGACACACTCGGGTCATATGGAGCGTACATCGAGCGTCACGCCGAGTTTCTTCCCGACACGTTGCGCTTCTTATTCGCATCACTGGAAAACCCAGGCCTCTATCTGAGCGCTGCAAAGTCTATCGCCGAGCTGTGTTCGACATGCCGTGCGAGCTTGACGAGCGAGCTAGATGGCTTTCTGGCGCAATACAACAACTTCGCGCAAGGGGAGACAAGTGAGCCATATACGAACGAGAAAGTCATTGGTGCCATTGCCGCCATCGTGCAAGCAGTACAACCCGAAAGCGCCAAAGCTAGGCCTCTATCTGCTTTGCTGGACATTATTGAGGGGACACTGGGAAACGCGCGTGATCAGTCTAACCCTGAGTTGCTCGAGCTATGGGGTGCGTCGGCAATCGAGTGTCTTGCGGCTGTAGGAAAGAATATGCAGAGTGAAGAGGACGGGCCGATTGACCTCTCCAATGATAACACTGCGCCGGTCGACAAGAAGAGCTTCTGGCAGACTACGGATGGTACGTGATCGTTCCTATATAAACCGCCACCGACCTCGAACTGACGCATTGCACAGGTCAAGCAATACAACAGCGTATTCTGAGCATATGCCAGAGCGCCCTGCAGCTGATACCGCAAAACGGAGAGGTGGTCGAGGGTGTCTGCAAAGTACTCAAGAGTGGGTTCGTCGAAACTGAGCCTGGTCCGTTTGTCTTCCCGCCTGGCTACATCATCGCCTTCCTCGAGCAGTGCAACCCCAGCACGCCGAATGTGGAATCAGTACTAGCCATGACATGCACACTGGTGCAACAATATTCAAGAAACAATCACCCTCGAATCGATGATGAAGTCGCCAAGATATATCAAAAAGTCGTGTCGATGGTCCAGCTCTTGGGCGAGCCAAGTCGAGATCCGGGCGTGGCCCAGAGCTGCATTGATGTGTTCAACAGGATGATTGGACGCTACACGAACATTCTCATGGACACGGCTGGCACTGGAGACATGGTCGCCCCGATTCTCGACTTTTCTCTCAAAGCAGTCGATGGTGCAGACCTGATGCCCAAACGCGCAGCATGTGGCTTCTGGGCGAGATTGATCAAGCCAGAAGATAAGCCTGCTGATGAAGTTGTCCGCACTCGCCTCGCACAAGTCGTTGCCGCCTATGGACCCATGCTCGCTCAAGCATTGATGAGTCAGATCAGTGGGCGAGGTCAAAGGTCCGAACTCGAGCAGCTCTGCGAGCCACTCAAGGCTCTTCTTTCTACCCAGCCACAATCGAAGCAATGGATAGAGAGTGCCTTGGCGAACAAAGCCGCCTTGCCAGCTATCAGCGAGCATGTGGCAGACAGCGAGAGACAGCGCTTTGTGGCCCAGCTTTCCGCTGCCCGTGGCGATACGCGCAGAACTCGGGAGACCGTGAAGCACTTTTATGCCGCGTGTCGCAACACGATTACCAGCTACAGCACATCAGCTTGACAGTCCGCTGTGTGCTGAGATGACTCTTTGACATAATTGTCAAGCCCTGGGCATCATGTTCGCTGTGCTAGAAACACGAGATGTGGAGGACTAGTCACTTGTTTAACGAGAAATACGAAACATCGCTCAGGATGTCTGTCGTACATCGAATGAGAACATGTTCACGTCTGACCTCCCATTGGGTATCTCATCTATGCGAACTCCGTTTTCATGCTGTCATGACAAAAAGAGAAAAAGCACTCCGAACGCCGTAATGATCCATGCCTCCCTCCCATGTGCATCCATGCCATCATCCATTCATTCCACTCAATTATTCAAAAAGATACCCATCTTCCCACCCCACCCTTCCTGATCTCCACCTCCACCACCACCACCACCACCACCTCCTCCTCCTCCCCCACCACTATTCCCACCCCCCATTTTAATCTTCAAATCATACGGAAACGGATTACTCTCCGTCGTAGTAATGGGCGGAATATGACCCCTCTGCAAATTCACAATCTGCACAATTTTGCACGCAGCCATTTCCAAACTCCTCGTCATGTGTAAACGATTTCTTTGCGCTTCGCCTTCACTTCGAGCGCTCGTGACGCTGACGCTGAGAATCCATGTCTCCCAGGGAGTTTCTTCGTCGGGTTTTTGAATGAACCATGTTCGACGGCGTTTGCGTTCGAGGAATTGGAGGGTGAGGGTTGCGTGGGTGGGGCGGGGGGAGGAGGGTTGGAGTGGAGAAGAAGTTGTTGTTGTTGTTGTTGGGGCTGGTGGTGTTGTGGTTGTTGTGGTTGTAGTAGAAGTAGTTGTAGTCGATTGCGAGTCGAGTTGGCGGAGGAGGGAGCTTGTGCGGGTTTCGATTAGAGTGTCGATGTCGTCTTCGGTGACGAAGGGGAGGGTGAGGTCGAGGATTTCGTGGGTTGCTGGGTAGAGAGGGGTGAAGTAGCGGTGGAAGAAGATGGTATGGAGGATGCCTAGGGCGAGGAAGAAGATCTGTTAGCACTTCTGAAGGGGGAATGAGGGAGTACCTTTGGTTGGTAGTCAGTCTGTTCATGTTATATACCTTTGACTACATCCTTCACATTCGAGCGGTCTGCTGTGACATCGAGCCTGTATTCCGGCGGTCTTCGCTGGTCCATGGCTGCTCTCGGTGAATGTGCTGGAGGAGGATATGCTGCTGCGGCAGCGAGGAGAGAGCTTGGTTATGACATCTCAAAGGCGTTATCTCTACTTGGCAAGAGACGTCCGCAAGATGGCGGTAGATCTGTATAGTATGCAGCGACCCGATCACCTCCCGATCACGAGGGGCTCATGTCATTGTCTCGAACTGTGGTACCTAATGAAGTGGGGCTGCCACGAGATAGAGACGGACACGGAGCGGGCTGTGGGGGAGTTGACTTTACGAAATACCCGACTTCTCATTGGAAGAATAACAACACCACCCAGTCACTGCCTCTCTCAAGCCTCCGGCTCTAGCTATAGCGATGGAGAATATTCCATGAAGATATTCTGGCCACACGAACCGTGTCGACCTGGTCCTGCTCTCACACCACAAGCCCCGGCGCAGAAAAACAAAAAAAAAGGCAAAAAGAATCCTCTCCTCAACTCCATGCACAGCATATACCGAAAGAAAAAAGCAAATACCAAAAAAACCAATCATCAAGATGAACAACAACACCCCATCCTCGAACCCCTCCCTCTCCCAAGAACAATTCAACATCTCCCCCTCCTCCCTCTCCGAACTCCACCACCTCACCACCCTCCTGCACCTCTTCCACACCCGCAACAAAAACCAACACTCCCACTCCATCTGGTACCGACACTTTAACATTTTCCGCCGCCAACTCTCCCACTTGACATCGAACCTCACCACCCTCAACACCATCCCCACGACATCCCACCACGCGCAAACGCACAAGAAAAAAACTCTGGATCCGATTCTCATCGCACGGATTCGCGCCCGAGTGAATTATTGGAGAGATTTTCTCGCGCGGAAATGGCAGAGGGCGTTTTCGCAGCTGGTGGCGGATCAGAGATTTGGTGTGTTGGGGATTTTTTTGTTGGCGGTTTTGGCCCAGGTTTGTGGCATTGTGGGGATTACGGCCGAGTGGGAGGAGATGGGCGAGGTGGAAGTGAGGAAGGCTATTGAGGCTTTTGGGAGGGAGATGAGGGGTGAGGATGATGATGATGATGGTGGTGGTGGTGGTTGTGATGAGGAGGTACGGGGGTTACTGGGTCGTGGTGAGAATGAAGCAGCAGAGGATGCTGGTCAAGTTGTCTCGCGAGAAGGTGAGGGGGAGGTGGCGGTGGCATCGGTGGCAGATGGGATCGGAGGTGAGGACGAAAGGATGGACGTACTACCTGCGAGAAGTGTTGGAGACACTCGGAAGCGGAAATCTGAGGGCACAGTTGATGTGAAGAAGAAGAAAAAGCGCAAGAGAGTTGGGGGAGATGCCATTGACGATATTTTTGGCTGATGACAAGACGACCTGATTGTGTTCACACACTACTTATACCCTGTACAAATACAAATTGTATACAATGTTCTGTCTTCACACACTCTTTTGCCTATTCATACATGCACTTCTCCCGCTCCAGCCTTCCTGTCGTACCTCCACTACGCCACGGCCTTGAACCCGTTCAACATGCTCCCCAACCACACATTGACAATCAGATGCCACCCCACACTCCAAGCCATAGCATACAGATACTTTGGACTGAATACTGTCCAAATGAACAAATGCGTCCTCAAAGCCGTGCAACTGGCCATCACAGCCAACAAAGCCGTCGAAACAAACAAGGTCATGTAACAGACATAATCTGACCAAACCTGTTCATCAACCTTCTCCCCCCCCTCCTTTCTCGTCTTCTTCTCGGGACCCATCATGGTCCTCAAACTCGCTTCATGAAGTTGTCTCCTTTCTTCATCAATCCAGCTCTTTTTGGTACTGTCATTCTTCTTCGACCCGAATAAAGAGCTCGCAGTAGCGGGAGCGAAAATGGAACGTTTGGCGTTTTCTTCGCCTGCAGAAAGTAATAGAATCGCAGCACTGCACCACCAAATCGCACCTGTCCAGTTCGAAGCGAAAAGGAGGATGCCAACTGCGAATATGTTGTAATCTGCCACGCCGTTATATGCGTTACTCAGATCGATGGACGAGATGGAATTGCTCCCGCCCGAACAGAAGAATGTAACGTGACTGAAAAGTAAAACCGTCATGGCAATGGTGGAAGTCCTACTTTTGATGGTGGGTGACGGTAAGCTCTGAAGGATATAGCTCAAAGCCTCTCTCTGCAGTTCCCATCCCAGGAAGAGAATCACATTCGGAGCTCGCGTCTGCATGATAAGAAACAGACTCAGCAAAGTGTGTAATCTCTCCGCGAGACTCGGTAATTTGCCAGCTTCTTCGACACCTAGTTTGATGCTCTGCCGATGGGAAAGCACCGCCAATGTCACTACCGCGAAAGTGGTGATAGTGAGGGCGAAGAAAGCGGAACGTGCTTGCAAAATCAAATCTGCGCTTTCAGTCCACTCTCGCACTTGGTTTCCTAGTCCTTGAACTAACTCCGGCGCATCGGCTTGTGTAAAATTGAGCTTGAAGACTACTCCGAAAAGAACGCAGACGACAGCTGTAGCAACGCTGGCTTCTGTGGCGACAAGGCCTGCGAAAGATCGAGTGACGAGGAGGTAGCCTTCGTAAAGATATGTGGCTAGGATGAAGAGCCACATGAGGACATGATTCTCAGGAAAGACCGTGTGCACGATATCTGGAGCACCAGAGTGTTTCTGTCCAGTTTGATTCCATCGAACGCTGAACCGATGAACGGCCAGTAACGTGAAGACAGCTGCTGTGAGGCGGCCCCTGCTGCCGAAAGATGCGAAGTGAGGCAGGTTCTGAATGCTCAGAGCTACAACCCAGGCGGGTGTGAGCCAGTACCAGAAATGCTGCTCTTCTTCCACGTACGAAGAGGCAAACATCATGATACCATACAGGAGGGAAGTGGTAGTGAAGAACAAGCCCGCTGTAGATGGTGGCCAGAGTCGTGGAAAGGATGAAATGGTCAACATGATAATGAACGCTGTCAAAGCCATTCCAGTCACCATGCGCGGAATGTTGTACGAGGACGCCGTCCCGCTGAGTTCATCCTGCGCCGCGAGGAGGAAGGCGAGAAGCCGCGATTGCGAGTCCTGGAGAAGATGGTCTGGCGTGATGCCAGCCTTGATCGTGGGTTGCAACTTAGCGGCAGCCCACAGACACGCCAACTTCTTCACCCCCTCTGCCTCTTCACACATCCTTCCCCACTGCTGCATGTCCTCGAGAGCCTTGCTCGTAGTCATCAGAGCCTCCACAATGCCCACAGTCTCTTCCCAGCTCTCCTCGCCATAGGTGGCCTTGACGATATCGAGAATCTGCTCGGCATTCCTCTTCAAATGCCAGAACCTGTCCTCCTCACTTCCGAGTATCGCCATTTCCGGTATACTGACGCCGAGACTGTTTCTCGAGATTGGTAGTCCCATCAATCCCGCGAGAGTGGGAACGAAGTCACTCTGCTCTACCTTGGTGTAGTAATGAAACTCAGTCCCGGCCTTGGGCTCGGTAGGACTGGCATACTGCTTCCTTTTCTTGACGGCTCTGAGTTTCGGGCTGGCGAACAGCAGAGCAGGCTCCGTTTCTCCCGGTCCACTCCCACCATGGTTACCGCCTGCGTTCATACCGTGATCCCCAGCCAAAACCAAGAGCGTGTTACTGTGGTGTTCGTTCTTCTCCATCGCTTCAAAGATCGTCATGACAATCCCATCCATCTCCTTCTGCTTGGGAAGCATGTTCGGACCCAGCGGACCAGTTTTGTGACCAATGTGATCAAGGCCTAGGTAATGCATAATCATGGCGTTCCAGTCGTCTTTCGCCAGCGCTTCGGGCACATGTCTCGTCACATTATGGTCCACTTCTGTGAAATCCTGTTTACCAAAAAATGAATACTCAGCCTACAGACACTACAGGAGAAGGTTACCGGGCCAGTTCTACTGACCGATACGAAGAAACTGCTAGTTCCATCACTGCGCATGAAAAACGGCGGCTCTGCCGGGTCTGGGCTATCCGGGAACAGCTTGAGCCATGTATCATCGCCGTAGAAGACGAGATTGCCGCCTGCAGCCTTGATCTGCGCGAGCCACGTATCCTGCGAGGCGAGCGAGGACGATTTGTCGGACTCGGCGAAGTTGAGAATGAGATCGAGAAAGGAGGGCACGGAGCCGGTCGTAAGGGCCTTGACTCGAGGCATGGTGACTGTGGGCGGCGTAGCATGGGCGGTGAAGGGAATCGCTGCGCCGGAGCGAATGAGGCTGTTATGCCTTCAGCACTGGTAGTAACTGGAATACGGCGTGTCTGTCGTACCTCTGCGTGAACAGCATGCCGCTGTCGTGGCCGTAGACAAAGTCACTTCTCAGCGCATCTACCACCATGAAGATGACCTTGTCGAAGGCGGCGGCTGCTCGTGCCCGTCCATTCTCGTCTGCCTCGCCTACTCCGTCAGGTCCTCCTTCTTCTTCGAAATGCGCCAGACCAGGCAGAACAGGCTTATACGGGAAGAAGCCGCTCGCAAAGGTTAGTACAGCAACCGGGAGGAGGATGTTCGCGAGCGTGAGCGACGCTCTTTGGAGGCGTCTCGAATGTGTCATTGTAGGAAGGGTGTTTGCGCCAGACCGCCTCATCTGCGTAGATTAGTATGCCATTCTATGAGTGTTAAAGAGCGTGTCCTGTTCAGAAGTGCGGATGTCGAAGGCGAGACAGGAGAGGAGTGTGGAAAGCAGAGAGTACTGTAGACTAGAGCCATGAAAGTACCTAAGTCCAGTGACTGAGGTGTCCAGTGGCACGAACCAACTTCTAAGAAATACATGCGAAATACACGTCCATCTCAACTTGAACTCACAAGCTACCTCACGGCGTATTCACTTCAACGACATCAATTGTGACGCTGACTACTTTGATAAGGTCTCAATTTTCTCGATCAAGGCGAGATGATCAAGGTGAGAACAATAATTCCAGCGGCGGCGCAGGCAAGGCATCAAATGTACAGCGACATTTACGCGACGACCCGAGCAGAATTGAGGAGGAGAACAACAACAACGGTGAAGAGCTAGTTTTGGATTGGCAGAGCTGTACTGTATGCGCTGTGAGTGCCCATGAAGTAATAGTCGGGATGGTGGATGTAGCGATGCCAAACGATGACCAACGGAGACGGTGAGTAATACACGACCAACCAGAATATTGATATGCAGCTGGGGGTGTATTACTGGGTTTAGGAGGAGGATATACTGGACAGAAAAGAATGTTGCTGCCAAAGTCTTTCGAGGGTATCGACTGCTTCTTTTCGGGATGAAGACTCCAGATGGGAGTGCTTGTGGGCTTTTCACATGGCCGAAAGTTTTTTCATGACGGCGACATACCATGAGACAGACCTTCTGGACAGTACGTCGGCACCCTCCTTTGGAACCAGCCGGACCGATGGCCATAGTCATGGATCTCTATGGAGTGGTAGACTGCGCCGTGCAAGAGGGAGCAGAGGCTACAAATCTACTGAGACAGCAGCCGTCATACTGAGTTTGCCATCACTCCAGAAATGAACGAGCATATGGTTATGCCTCACTAGCCGACAAGGGAGAGCGTTCTCACAGCAAGAACGATGGCTGGTTTCAGAACGCGGATACTTGCAAAAGCCTAGCAAAGGCATGCAGTTCGAAGAGAGCAGACATTGAATCGGCATTGCTCTAATACAGGCGAGTCTGTCATGATCGCCAGCTTGGACTCCAGTCGACATAGTGGCAGACTGTCGCTGCGGCTGAACCATTCTGGCTGCTGTTTACTCTTGCATATCTGGACCTCGTCACGCCACTGCCTTCGATATCCCGAGCATCAGCGGCATGGTTCTACAGAGCCTAAGGATATTGCGGCTACGACACAGCCCCATGGCGTCCAGCTCAAAAGGTTCTAGTCTTGATAGACTCACGATCACATGCCGGGAACCTCCCGAGACAGGACATGACGAGACAGCATCATCCCATCAGCAGTGGCATCAACAAGCTTGATATTTCTGCAACGTCGACGGCGGAGTCGCGCAGAAGGCATCCAAGGGACCAGCTACGCGGTACCGCTGCAAAACTACCGGCTAGACTTGCTTTTGGTAAAACTTCGACTGAAAATGCACTGTGGCAGCAAGTATTAGCTGAGATCATCTGTCGGGTACTGGAAGATAACCGCATCTGATTTACCACTGTCGGCTTTGGTGATTGGCTTGCCATCCACTCATGAAGCTCAGATTTCACCCTCGGAATCTTCGGTTTCGTGGTCGATTTGAGCGTGTATTTCTTTGTTGTATCGCCTCATGGTCTCTTCGGCGTTTCCGCGTGTTGAGTTGGTGTGGCAGCAGAGTTACCAAGTGCGGCGGTGGTAGCAGAGGTGTGTTCCTGTCGGACCAGACTGTGGCGCCACTGGACTACGATAGCCCTCTATCACTCGAACGGCGGTGCTCTTGAGCAATCAGTATGACTGGGTGGCGACGGCGTGGTGGCATGAGATACAGGAATGAGGACACAGTGAGGCCGTCGCTTGTCTGCCGAGGATTTCGACGCTCCAATACCGCATGCAGGTCACTAAGAAGCCAACGCACTCTTGCATGACTCCACCGACAGTACTTCTGACTTAGGTACCTGGTATACCTGAGGCACCACACTCGTTCGGCAATATTGAACCAGGCCGCTAGACCATCGACGCATCAAGCATATTGACTGGACGTTGACGATACTTCAATGAATGGACGGGACGGATGCAACACTCCATGATCGGTGGCAACAACGAGATCAGTGTTCTGCCGGCGTCAACGGCATAGTCAGTAAACAACATGTCAAAGAGGGAATTGCACTGCAGAAGGAACACTCTTTCATTAGCTAACTATAGCGGAGATTCTTCTGCACCGGCCACACACACACACACACACACACACACACACACACACA